GCTAAAATGAAAACTTAATTAGGAAACAGAATAAACTGGAGATGAAGCAGAAGCAGCAATAGAGTCTAGGGCAATGATTTCCAAATATTAGTTCACATGCATCAGAATCACCTGGCGCACTGGTTAAAATCTGGTTGCTAGGCCACACCTCCAGAGTTTCTGTTTCAGTAGGTCAGTTGTGGGATCTGAAAATCTGCATGTCTAACAAAATCCAGGTGGTTGATGCTGCTGGTCTGCAGACCACGCTCTGTGATCCACTGCTTTAGAGTAATAGCGAACAGTAGGTTGGAGCTGCAGAAGTCAAAGAGAAATGTCTTGTGAATTTTTTTTTTTTTTGAGACTCTGTAGCCCTGCTGGAGTGCAGTGGCATCATCATAAACTCACGGAGCTCAAGCCATCCTCCTGCCTCAGCCTCCCAAGGAGCTCAAACTGGAACACCACGCCTGGCTAACTTTTCCTTTTTTTTTTCCTAGAAACCAGGTCTCCTTCTTGCTCAGGCTGGTCTAGAACTCTGGACCTCAAGGTATTATCCTGCCTTGGCCTTCCAGAGTGCTAAGATTACAGGTGTGAGCAAACACACCTGGCCTCGTGAGCATCTCAATGTTCAGAAATGCAAAGGGAAGGTCAGAGACTCTTGAGAATGCTCCAGGGAGACTATCTTTAAGTATGTCAGTACTATTTACAGGACAATATGCCCTAAGCAGACTTCACTTCAGTGACCAGAGAATGACAGACTTCTTAGTTTGAAAGTTTAGAGAATCTTTAGAAAGACCAATTTTGACCTAGAAATGTGAAAGAAATGCTAAAAAATAACTCCAAGATTGGAATTATAAACAAAACTATGTGGGCAGGCACAGTGGCTCATGCCTGTAATCCTAGCACTCTGGAAGGCTGAGGTGGGAGGATCCCTTGAGGTCAGTTCTAGATCAGCCTGAGCAAGAGAAAAACTAGCCAGGCATAGTGGCACATGCATGTAGTCCCAGCATCCTGGGAGGCTGAGGCAGGAGCATCCCTTGAACCCAGGAGTTTGAGGTTGCAATGAGCTATGACGATGCCACTAGCACTCTACCCAAGGTCAGATTCTTGTCTTAAATAAATAAAATTATGCAACAGTAAGAACTAGCAAATAAGATTTTAAGTCAGCAACTTTTAACCACAGAGGAAGAGAAGCCAAAAAACTGGAGATGGGTAAATGGAGTTCTAGTTTAATTCTCAACATTTAAAAATTTATTTATTGAGATATAATTTACTTACAGTAAAATGTATGCATCTTAAGTATACAATTTGACAAGTTTTGACAAATGGATACACCTGCATTATCACCCAAATTAAGATACTGTGCACTACTATCACTCCCCCAAAAATTTTCACGAGCACAAAGTAGCAACATGTTTAATTTTTACGGATATTTTATATGCTTTGAGACATTTATCAGGAAGTCTAGAGCCACAGTGTCCTATATAATTAGGAATTTACTAGTAGCCACATTAAACAATGGAAAAAAACAAGAAAAATGAATTTTATTAATACATTTTATTTAACCCAATGTCATATTATCAACATGCAACCAGTATGAAAAAATTGAGATATTTTACATTCTTTTTCCCATAAGTCTTCAAAATCCAGTGTGCATTTTCCACTTACAGCAGATCTCAATCTACACTAGCCACATTTCAAGATTTCAATAGCCACTGGTGGCTAAAGGCTACTGTATTGGTCAGCACATGTCTAAAGTCTAACTCTATCTCCAGCATAATCATCACCTTAAAATATACAAAGTACATAAAAGATTATCCTAAACTAAGTAATGCTCTGTTAAAATGGCACATGAAACAATAAATGTTAAAGTATTTGGACCTTTTCTAATTACTAAATGAGAAATTTAGCTGTTACATAGAAATGGCTTTGCAAATCTTTTTGACATTTTTACAAATGCCTTGAAAACCATGTTCTTCTTTCCATTATCTCATTAAGATAATGAAACATCTTAGTACTAGGTTTTCTTTTTCCACATCTGACTTGTTCATTCTGTCATTCAATAACTATTTATCTGCTATGTGCAAAACTATGCTACGCAACACTATGTGATGCAGTGAGGGATATAAAGTACACACCATCTCCAATTTCACGAAGTTTCCAAACTAGTTAAGAGAGAGAGTGAAAATGTGAATATGTGAAAATATATCTCTATTTTATTTCACTGTATCACTCTGTGTCAATTACTTGTTTACATACCAGTCCTCCCCCAATTCTTTAACAATGAAGAGAAGGACTTTATCATCTTCCCAAGGCCTAACAGAACACCTTAATAAACATTTATGGAGTTCACGATAATGAAAAATTATGTATTATTTTCTAGAACAGAGGTCCCTACAAAGTACACAAAGAAATAGTTTATCTTCCCTATGCTAGACTATAAGGCAGAGGAGTTACCAAAGGCAGGCCTTGAAAGATTTGACAAAGGGTGGTAAGAAGTTTGAAGAAAATGATAAATTTTTACAGATGAAAAAGTATGGGAACAGAAGAGTACATCACATATGATAGGTATTCCCTGCATGTTTGCTTATTAAGTGCACAAGTGACTAAAGGGAAGAGCCTAAATGACTAAGAATATCATTTAGAGCTAGAAATGGAGGATTTGAGGACATGAAGGAGTGGTGATGCTACATAAGCTATGTGGGAAAAAGTGACATCTTGAGTAGGCAGCTGCAATTCTTAACATTTTAAAGCAAAATAACAGCAGTAACTACCCTCCGTACCTTGGAAGGTACAGAACTATATCCTATTTTCTTACCTTTGGGATAATGCCTATGGTGTCCATTTAACAACTTTAATAATTCCATAATCTGACATTAACTTGAACAATTTCATTCAAGCATATTTATAGGCAGGATGAGAAAAAAGAAATCTAGCAAAATTACATGCTTTTATTCTACCATCATGCATATAAAGGAAGACAAATATGCCAATGGTACACTTCCAATTTGTCAGAGTAAATTCACAGTATTTATGCAATTTAGGAACAAAGACACATCATTTACTAAGTTGTTACTGGGGCAAATTACCAAGTAAGACAATCAAACCACACACTTTTTTGTTGCTTATTTTTCCACAAAGACAACAATTTGAGAAGCCTAACAAAGACTGAGTTATTCAAACTATGGTTCTAAGAATATAGTTTAACAGAAAGAACAAGCTGAAAACTGTTACGAATATTCATGTCTCTATACTGTAAAGACTGTTATTCTTCTAAATTTTACCAACTGAAAGCAAAAGAAAGCTTGTATTGCTCAATTTTTGCAATAAGCAGAAACAGAAAATAAGATTTTACTAAATACTGGTAATAAGAAATAAGAGCACAGTATTAATCTTCCACATAAATTGGGTTACAGGTGTTCTCAAAGTCTGTTGTGATGGTCAGAGGCGGCATGGAGTGAGTCTGGGCACCCTGAGGAGTGAGTCTGGGCACCCTGAGCTGTGAGCAGGGGCAGGAAGAATGTCCCGTGATGCCCAAGGCTTTGAAGTGTAAGACAGTACTCTGCTGCCTACCCTCCCCAGCCTGTGTGCACTGGGAATGCTCACAGGATCCCTTCCCCTGCAGGCACAGGAGGTTGGAGGGTTCAGAGGCCAGGAGTACAACCCCCCAGGCTCCAACTAATACGTGCTATGTCACCATGGTCAGGCCAGCCCAGGAGGCTGAGCTGGGTCATCCCCACAGTTACCTCCTTTACTGAACCACAAGCTTGTGATTCCAGGCAACACGCACTGGACAATGCACTCAGGCTGTCTCAGCTACTCTGTAGTTGTGATGACAACTGTAGCAACCATTTACTCAGCACTTACCAAACACCCGGTGCTCTGCACACATTTACGTCATCTGCAGTCTGCACAAGATTTCATACTTAGCCACATTTTGCAGATGGCAATACTGAAGCTCAGAGAAGGTAAATGACAGCCCCCCTCCAAAAAAAACAAGAGAGAAAACACTCAAAGTTGCATTGTGTTTCTTTTAAAGAACCTTCATCTAGACAATGTTTTTAATACTCAAACCCCCTTTAATTCTATAGCAATCCTGAGAAGTATTTCTCCTCCCATCACCATTGATGAGTAAATACCCCTTTCTTGAAGGTTCTTAGCCCAGTCTTCACTTTAGACCCAATTTTTACCTGGCTTATTTCTGCCTCTAGCCGTTAGTTTTCCCCCTCCTTAAGGAATTCATCATAATCTCTTCAGTTCTTCCACCCGTTATAAACTAGATCTCATCTTTTATTCCATCTAGATCTCTATCCCTTTAAACCCTCTAGGAGTTGCTTTAGGCTAGGGAGCTGGAAAGAGAGCATAGGGGGACAAAAGGAGCTTTTAACAGTCTACTTTACAGGATAACCTTTCTGTCTCTGGAAACCATACTTGAAATAAACCAAAAAGCTTGCTTTTGCAGAGGTTTCTAAGCTATCACTTTTTTCTTTTTCTTTCTTTTATGAGATAGGAGGAAAAGAAGAAACGGGGTAGAGAGGGATCTTGGCAGGTGGGCATAGTCAGTAGCAGATAGTAAAAGGTGACCAGAAGTACAGGAACAGCAATAGAGTAACATAAATCACGTAGAACAAGTGGCCCACTGCTGCTCTCCCTTAACATGTCATAAATACTTAGTAATGTCCACAGGCCATGTGTCTGTACAAGCAAAAGGCAGCAGAATGGATACAATGGGCTCCTAGATAAAGCCGGGCATCCAGGTAATAGTAACCAGACCAGAGGCCCTGGGAACCAACACAAGCAGTACAGATAAAGGCAGTACAATATACAGCATTATTTGCTTGGCTTAGAAGTGTTGTGGACCATGGCCACACAGCACGTGACAGTAATGCAGAACAGCATGAAGACCTTGTGGAGAAGAATGTCCATGACTGTAAATCTTGAGGCTGAGAAAACTGAATAACCAGGAGAGAGACTGAAGAAAGGTCAGCCAAAAACAAAACAAAAAAAAAACGTAGAAGGCATACCCATTGTTGTTGCCCAAGCACAGGTCTATCAGGTGGTGACAGGGGACCTTGTGCAGTATTCCCAAGGGCAGATGTTAACCAGACTGGAACCCAAAGGGCCTGGGGATCTCCACTGGCTCCCTTATTGGGCGACGTCTGGGTCTACGGACTCCTTCACGCAACAGGTAGTACTGCAGTGGATTTGGCCACAGGTCCTCTTTGATAATCTCAGCAATTCTATCAGACTCTGGAAGGCTGTGGTCTGAAAACCAGGTGAAGAAGCTGCAGACGAGGTCTTGGTTTCTGCGAATGAAGGACTGGGGTTCATGTCCCCTGCGCCATATGATTGGGGTGGAAAGAGACACCACTCGGCAGGAGGATCTGACCTCATATTCCTTGACGATCAGCTTGTTTCTGAAGTAGGGGTTTCTTCGAAAGAAGAACTTGAACTTGCAGCCAGTCCTAGGGTGTCTGAGTTCCTTCACCCCCAAATTGGTTATGTACCTTAACATCTCTGCATCTTGGCCCCTAATCATGGGAGACAACTGGGGGTGGTTCCGAAAGGCAGTCATCCAGAAGCCCGGGATGTTCTGAATGATATAGTTCCTCCGCTCCAGGTAGTGTCGACGCATCCGCCCAAACTTGTGCTCCAGCTGCTGGAAGGCCCTGTCAGCCTGAGCATTCACAGTGTCCAGTTCCAGTTGGATGGCCTCCAGAGGGTCCATGCGGAGAGCCACATTCAGAGGCCAGGGCCCTGCCTCCTCCTTCACCTCTCCTACCACTCTGTTTTCCTCCACCACTTCTATTTCTTCACCTACTGGCTTCTCCTCCACCTCCATTGGATCTTCTGCCACCTCGTTCTCCTTCACTCCTTCTACCTCCACCACCTCAGCCCTGCCCTCGTCATCCATTGCTACTGGGAGGGTGGCGCACTCTTCGGACTTCACATCCTCCTCCTTCGCGCCCAGGATCACCTCAGACCACAGCCTCTCCGCACCACAGGTTTTTAGGGCCTTTCCTCCATCTTGAAAGCCGTTTTTCATGCTGTTTTCAGCTGCCGCCAACACGGAGGCTGCTTCCAGGACCTCTGTGGGAGGCAGAGCCTCTTCCTGCCCAGCTCCGACAGCTACACGACTGCCACCGCCACCGACTCGGACCTGAGGAGTAAGGCCACTGTCAGCGGGATCCCGGGGTACGCCCCCCTCCCCTAAAAGCTGGAGCGACGGGAACGCGACGGCCTCCAAGCTTCCCTCACCCGTCTCGGCCATCACCTGTGATGCCTCGGTTTCGTCGCGGAGGCTCAGGCACTGGTGTGGGTCCGGACCTCCTGGGACATGGTCGGAACCGGTGAGGCTGCGGGTTTGGGAGAGAGGGGTCCTCTCGACCCCACCCAGGCCGCTCATATTGGTATCCGGCCGACTGGAGGATAACGTTTGTTTTCCTCACAGAAGCCGCCCCTGAGGTAACCGCCGCTCGCACCGCTCGCACCGCCCACTCTCCAGTCTCGCGAGCGTCTCCGTGGCGGTGACGTCAGGACTGCAAATCTCACCGTATCGCGAGAACTCGCTGCGTTTGCGGACTGCGTCTGCTGCTGCGTGCCGGTTAAGGGTATTTTCTTAGTTTTAGTTTTGTGATTTTAACCAGCAGCAACGGTAATTTTACCTACATAAATAAATGTAGGTCGTCCTCAGAGACTAAAGGCATTGACGACCCTCCTTGCAATCTATCTGGAAACTGCTCCCAGCGTGTAGACTGGAGCAATTGTAGGGATCGCAGTCCTAACACTGCCTACTGTCCAGTGTCTGAAAAATGTTTTTCTGGTTTTCAATATTTTGAGGCAGGGAAATCAATTATTTCCTCTTACTGCATATGGCTAGGATCAAAAGTCATCTCTTTATTTTGAACTAAGATGCATACCAAAATGTTTCCCTTAAGTAAAAGTGGCATGAAAATATTCCTGCCTCTACCGTTACTGGGAGAAAAAGCTACTCAGGAGCTTTTTACCACTAAAGTGATGTATATTATTCATTGCTGATCCCCAATTTATAATATGCATAAAAGTTTGTGCTGCATGAAATTGACAGGACTTAAGCCAGTATCAATTTGCTAAATTTTGTTACCTGCCCCCTGGATTTGTTATCGTGGATTATCCAGGTGGGCCCTATGAAATTGCAACAGTCCTTATAAGAAGGAGGCAGGAGTGTCAGAAGATGTGATGACCAAAGCAGAGGTGAGAGAGAGAAAGAAGGGAGGGAGAGAGGCAAGACAGGTGATGCGTTGCTGGCTTTCAAGATAGAGGAAGGATCTGGGATCCTAGGAATGAAGGCAGCCTCTAGAAGTCGCAAAGGTGAAGCAATGGGATCTCCCTGAGGGCCTCCAAAGGAATTCAGCCCTGCCAACACTTTGATTTTATGACCTCTATAGACCTCTCGAGCTGTAAAATAATACATGTGTGTCTTTTTCAGCTATTAAGTTTGTGATAGTTTATTACAGAAGCACCATGACACCACATCTTTGGTTAAGGTTTGGTTGTATCTATGCCTGCCTCAAGTTCTAACACCAGCACCTTCAGCCATTGCTTCCCTTGCAGGCCTGCTCAACAGCTGTGACTTATCACAGCTTGATCTCTGAGTAATGAGACCAGAAATATACCTAGGGAATAACACAGAAAGACAAAATTAAAGCTCAAACTACCACCAAAAAAATATTTGAGAACACTATGAACTGCAGGAAGATAAGGTCAGGGTTTTGTTTACCTCTGTTTATCTAGTGCCTTGCACAGTATTCCATAGATTTATTAAAGTGTTAAATAAAAGAGCAAATTAACAAAATACAGTTTCTCCTGCTTGCAGCTTGGGGCTTTAAGAAGAGAAGTGAGGGGCTTGTGTATTGTCACCCTACTCTCCTCCCTATCTGCCACTGATAAACTAGAGGGCTGCTCTCCTGTATACAGTAACAAAATCCTAGTCAGGAGAATGAATATCTATATGTGGGTCCAAGCCCCTACAAGCACAGGAAAACCACTAAGAAAACGATTTTGTTTTACAAATAATTTACATTTGTGTGGTCACAAACAAACTCTGAAAAGATCAACATATTTTGGTGAGTTTACATAGCCAAGCCTCAAACTACCAGCACTGTATTTCTAATTCTTTCTGGACAAGCCAAGGTAATGAGTCTAGGACTTACTTCATTTCTCTCTACAAGAAAAGGATATAGGATTCATTTCTCTCTACAAGAATGGACCCTGTAATGCATGGCTAGAATTACTTTTGGTACAGAAAAGAATGAATAATGGAACTTTCCACAAGGACTGGTTCTTTCTAATTGCCATGAAATCATTTTCTATCTTGGAACTGGAATAATTTAATTTGGCCTAAAGTGGAGACTTTTATTACTCCAATATGCCTTCTATTTTTAAGCAGAAATGAGTCCCAGGCTTTGACCAATCTTAGATCTGGCTCTATTTGTCAAAGTTGCCATTATGTAATTAGTATAATTAGCACTGTTACTGATAATGCTGGGAAAGGCTCCAGTTACAGCTGGTATATGTAAATGTAATCAGAACTCCTCTGAATATAATTTCCCCAGATAGCATTGAAACATTTTGGAGAAACTCTTCCTTCTCTTCTTTCCAGTATATTTGGAAAGTTGTAATAAGGAATATTTGATTAAATATTTAGAGAAAATGAGGAAACACTTAAATTTCTGCTTTTAATTATCTGAAAATCACATTGAAGAAGTGATTGTAACTCTTTGTTACAAGTAATAGAGAGCCCAGGTTATGACTGTTTTTGGAGAAGTGCTCAGAAGGGCCAATGAAGGGCAAAGATTTTAGAGAGAAAAGAAAATATGCATACTCTATGCCTTATCTTTGCTTGGAAGAAGGAACTCCCTAGGATTTCAACCTGTGCCAAGGCTCATGTGCTCAGGAAGTTATTCTGCCAGGGAGACAAAAAAATAGTGGCTGCTATTTGATACAGAATATTGTACTTATGATAGGGCTATTACTTGTGGAACTTTTTGTTTATCTTTTTGTATCTTAAAGTCTTAAAAAGGATATGTCTCTTTTACATGACATGGGTTATCTTGCTATCTGAGCATTCTCTCTCTAGACAGAAATTACCCATTCTCTAAGACTCCCCAGAAACCTGTCTTGCTTCAGAATGTGCTTAGGCATTTTACATGCATTAAATTGTCAAATTTCACAAAAGAGGGAACAGTAATTTTGAGAGATTAACTAACTTTACCAAGGCCATACATATATAGTAACTGCTAGATTTTTTCTCCCTTCTTTTGGATACAGCTTTCCTTAACCACGATATGACTTCTGATATTCCTCACCTGAATTCCTATAACTCTTTTATGAGCTGTGCCATTGCAATTTAGCACTTAATTATACTTTTCATCCAGGTGATTCACATTGTTTCCTACTTGTCAATCTCATCATCCCAGCATTCTGGCATCATCCCATAGGATAACAGCACAGTTGCTGCTGCTTTTACATTTACTCAGCATAGCATGAAGCTCAATTTTTGTTGTTTCTTAATGATATTTGTTGATTTTAATAAAATAAAACCTTAAATAATCTTACAAAAACTAATAATGTGTCTATACTGGCATTATATTTTATTTGAAGAGGGAATATATTTTGGCCATGCTTCATATATTAGCTTTTTGCACTTTGGAATATAGGACACAATGATACATGACAGAGCATTTCTGAGGCAATTGGCATCAAACCTCACTACGCAAATTACAGTTGAATCTTTTCTAATATGGTCCTAGGGGTAAACATCTTCAGAAAACTATGAAATTTTCTCTACCACATGATTCTTCAGGAATGATTTCTCAGGTGGCAAGGAGTTTAGAAGAAGTTCAGACATTTTTGTTTTGCAGAAAGATATTTTCTGATTATAATTAATGATAGCTTTCTCTTATAGCTTCTGATGGACCAGCCACTATTATAAATATATCATATCATATGTTATATCATATTATATCACTTAGTTCTCATAAAAGCCCTCTGAGGTAATGCTATTATGATCCTCATTTTACTAATTGGAGAACTGAGGCAAAGAGACAGTCATTTACCCAAAATGACATAGAAAGGGATAGACCTGTGATTTGAACCCAGGAAAGTGGTCTCAAGAGCCTGTGCTCTCTGAACAAAATGTAAAGTCATTTTAAAATAAGAGTATAAAATCACCCTTACTTAATGTTAAATTGATACACAATTTTTTCTCTCCTCCCTCTTTCGCCTATCCACAAGCATATTCATATTTGTTAGAAAGTACCCAAGTATTTGCTTCCTGTTTAGAGGAAAATCAGTTATCCATGATCCCAAATTCAGTATTTACTTAACCCTATCAGACCAGACCAAATGCCACCTTTTTGTAACAGATATTTTCTAAAACAGTCTTTATTTTCCTGAAATGAAATTCATAGATAATATAACCCACCTATATGCATAAACAGGAAAAAATCAATATAATGACAACTCTATAAAAGAGAAATAAAAGTAATTTATAGTAATAGCTTTTAATATGTAAAGGCATTAACATGCCTACACTGTAAGAAATGGCAAAGTAGTTAGAAAGTTACACCTGTTAATCACCATGGATGGAGACTGATACAGGTGTGATACAGGTGTGTTTTATTTGTGGTTCAAATACCTTGGTGATAAGATTTTCTGAAATGGTGAACAAATCTAGGTTAAGTTCTGGAAAAGAAAAAAGAACGCTCCCCTTAATAACATGCTACTGTATTTCTTCGATTGTAAGAAATACATTTTCACACTTCTGAATCAGGATGTGTCTTACAAGCACTCTCAGCCAGGTGTCAGTCATGACATCATTGCCCATTGTCACTGCCTAAGCATGTGCAAACTTGATTATTGTTACCGATTTCATTTCTGAACAATTTAAAGACCATCTGAAGAAGGGATATGAATGCTGGTTGTTGTCTGAAAACTTTCCCACGTATCTTTGGGAGGCTAAAAAAAATGCCAGCAACAAAACTTACATAATTGATGTCAGTGGTTTGGCAGAAAATCCTAGCTACAAGAATTGAGCACTGATTTAGGAAATATAGCATCATCAGGACACTTGATAACAGAGAGGATGATATTGTTTGTAAAAAAACATGGATATTGACAACTCTGAGTCAAAAACTATTTCAGTAAATTTTCTGAATAGGTAGAAGTTTAACAATGTATTTTGCTTTTGTTTCTCCTTTTATATATGCCCAAGTGTGATAAATTTTATTTCTGTTTAAATATGTCTAAAAGAGCTCTTAAGCAAAGATAAAATAATAATTATGTATAAGATGCATTGTGTCATAGTTTAATTGGCAGTGTCTTTCTTTCTTGATGATATTTAAATAATACTATGTTTTACAATTGATGATGTCTTAAATTAGATAAAATAGCATAGTTTCCTTCCTGGAAAATTTATTTCACATTAAAACAGTGTAAACATAGTTTTTTTATATGTAAAATGATGTTAAATTTT